TTTCCTGATTCGGATATCTGCAAAGGAATCGAAACGTTAGCAGATTTATTGCGGCGTCCGCCTCTTACTTCTGATTTCGAATTTCTGCAGTTTTGTTGTGTTGAAATTTAAACAGATGTTGAAACGTACTTGATGGACACACGGAAACTCATTCACGCTTTTGATTTATTGCCTGCTAGAACAGCCAAGCGAAGGCCGTTGTTTGAGCAAAGAACTGCAGAGGATTCTTCTTACTTTGAAGTTAAATGATAATTCGAGAAAATGTACCAAAATTCTTATTAATCAAGTGGATTTTATATAAAGATTAAAATGAAATAATGAAAGGCAAACTCTTCAATCTCTTTCATTTCATTGTATCTCTTGGGGCAATTTATCATTGGATGATATGTTGCGACCACACGTTTATTTCAACATTTACAATAATCGCCTAAAATCGCTCGGGAAATTTATCACTCCTCACATCTTTTCTCTGTCGCCCGTTTTGAAGTTCGTTTTTATTTTGGACGTCTTCTTAATGCGCAGCCAGAATGGGACTCATGAAAATTGTTAGGCCCTTACTCATAGCTTTATTCCTTAACAATTATTTGAACTTCTTCATTCAGTGAAGTGACGTATCTGTTTATTAAATATCTCTTTAGACATATGCAAAACATTAAAATATTAATTAATCGTATATATCGCAAAATATTAAAATTTTTAATTATTGAAATTAATATATCACAAAATATTAAAATTATAATTAATTGTATTACTTTTCTAGATTGAACCAAATAATTAGCCAAAAGATAATATATGTGAGGGTAAAAAATATTCAAGATGCAAATGCTTAACGAAATATATATATTTATCGCACTTTCACGCATTGTGCAAATGCAGGCGTAAATTAAATTTATTACACAGACACTGATATGTGTAGTTTTTAACATTGTCAACACTCGATAAATCAACGGAAGCTCGTGGACGGCTAATTAGGAAACGGAAATGCTGCGGACCACTTCTAGTGTGCGTGTCATGAATGAATCTTACAAAGGGTTTATAAATTTTGTCTCTTCTGAGTCTATAAAACAAAACTCTGTTAAAATATACCTCCGTTGAAAGATGATTTCTTTATTGTTTGGTAATGTTATCGGACCTTTCACAATCATTAACATAAAAAATCTTCGGGGTCTATTAACTTTACATTAGTGTTGTTAAATAGAAAAATAAAGTATCGCTACATTTTTATGATTTTTTTAAAGCTGATCACGGTGATCATTTTTTGTATACTGTAAAAACTGAATTATCCTGAAAATGTATTTTCTTTTAATTTAAAAGGCCATACATTTGTGGGAGAAATACCCAAATATGAATCAGCTGTTTCAAAAAATATGATTTACGGTTCGTCGGCAGAGTAAGTAAGACAAAATTAAATAAATACTACAGTACATTTTGTACTGAAGAAAATTCGATTTTTTGGAAAATAATTTTAAATATTATAATCCATAACTTCGCGAAAGCAACGCAACCAATTGAATACCGATTTGCAGATAAAATATATATGAGTCCCATGCAAAGAATCTCTCAAAATTATTCTCAAAATCGTGGATGTGACGGAACTCTCTTCAAACAGGAAAACTCTGAATTTTGAAAGGACCATCAGAAAACCTTTGGAAACGAATAGCATTGTCTGCTAAAAGTGTACAGATATGATTTCCAAATGCGATTGATTTCGCATCAAACGTCTCCAATGTTCTCTCCGCTTGAAATTTCAATAAATATAACAATTTCAGTGAGGTGACTAATGTCTTGGGATAGAAATATGCAAATGTACTGATGGTAGAAGTATCGCGTTCAAATGGCATAAAAGGGCAGTGTATGGGTAGAGCTTTCGTTTTTACGCAAGAGATTCATGTGAAAGTGTTTCTGGCGTGATAATGGACGCACGAAGGAAATAACAGACTTTGAACGCGGAATAGTAGTTGGAGTTAGACGCATGGGATATTCCATTTCGGAAATCGATAGGGAATTCCTTACTCCGAGATCCACCGTTTCAATGGTGTACCGATAATACATAATTTCAGGCATATCGTCTGACCACGCACAATGCATTGGCTGATGGTCTTCCCTTAATGACCAAAAGCAGCGGCATTTGCGTAGAGTTCTTGTCAGTGCGTGAAATAACCGCAGAAATCAATAAGCGACTACGACGATCTTTTCCGCGAGGACAGTGCGGAGAAATTAAACTTTAATTTCATATGACAGCAGAATGCAGACTCGATGCCTTTGCTAACAGTACGACATCACCTGTAGCACCTTTTCTGGGCTCGTGACTATACAGATTGGACCCTAGACGGGGAGTTCCGATTTCAGTAGGTTCGAGCTGATGGTAGGGTTGGAGAGTGGCACAGATCCCACAAAGCCATGGATCCAAGTTGTCAACAAGGCACTGTGCAGGCTGGTGGTGGCTCCATAATGTTGTGAGCTGTTTTTAAATGGAATGTACTGGATCCCCTGAGCCAACTGAACTGTTCCATTCATGATCTTCATGTTCCCAAACAACGATGGAATTTTTATGGATGACAATGCATCATGTCACCGGGCCACAATTGCTCGCGATTGGATTCAAGAACATTCTGGACAATTCGAACGAGTGATTTGGCCATCCAGATCGTCCGGCATGAATCCCGTTCAATATATATATATATATATATATATATATATATATATATATATATGGGACATAAAATCCTGCTCCAGCAACACATTCGCAATTATGTACGGCAAAGATATAGGCAGCGTGGCTCAATATTTCTGCAGGGGACTTCCAACAACTTGTTCATGTCTCGTCGAGTCGCCACTCTTCGTCCGGCAAAAGGAGGTTCGACAAAATATTAGGAGGTATCCCATTGACGCGTAGTGTATATTGAAGTTCGAAAAAAGAGAAAAGAGTTAAAAATCAATACGTCGATGATGACGACCGAGACTCGAAAGATTCGGAAGGTGAGAAACGTGTCAAAGGATTAATAATGCCTGAAGATGAAATAAATAAGTAAACTCTCCAATATATATTTCTGTAAATTATATATATATATATATATATATATATATATATATATATATATATATATATATATATATATTATTGATGACGCCTTCTCTTCAACGGTTTTTCAATGACCAGACGCAATATCACTAGCCTTAACGAACGAAACACACAAGGTCCACCATGGATACACACGAGGGCGGTATTTTAAAGAGACCACGAAAAATATCCGAATATTTTTTAAATTAAAAAAATCACTACCATGTTCTTCTCGTTGATACTAGTCCTTTTTGTTGCTGTTACACTAATTCATTAGTGTATCTAATAATGAATACAGGACCCCTAACCCACATGATTGAATGCAAGATTTTTTCTTATACTTAACAATCTTGTTGGCACTTTTATTTCAGTATTAATCCTTTTTTCTAATCAATGAAATAAGAATGACATTTAAAATAAATATAAATTGTTTCACGTTTTTTGGCATATCAAGATTAAATAAAGAAGCAATCAAAACGAAATATTCCAGCACTAAAATTTGTCGTTGTATTCTTTCTGACAATACAATCGTTAATACTTATGATCAAGCAAGGATTTTAAAAGAAGTGAATCGACGTTCTGGAGCCCATAGTACGATATGCATTACTGAATTTCACTGAGATATATATCTTAAGGGTTCAGTTAGTCACTTTTAGGATGATTTCATTGTGATATTCTGTTATCTCCTTTTGTTAATGTTAATGTACATGCACATTTTTGTTTTTGTGAGATGTTCGTAGTTTTGGATTTACAGATTTAAAATTACTAAAAGTAGTCATTAATATATAAACCTTCAAAACCTGTAGTACGACTAATAATTTGATTGATAGAGGCTGCTTCTTTTCAGAATGTTGTAACAAACTTAAGGTTAAAAAGCCTTTCAATAACTTTCGAAAACTAACATTATAAAATGTAAAAAAGTAATTAAAAGGAGAAAGTAGAATAATCAATGCAAGATCGTCAGTTTACTGATAATTTGATCATTCTTTCCGCTGCTGTTCTAATGGCAGGTTGTTTTTTGCACATATTTATATTGACATTAACAATTTTTCCCAATAATTTTGTCTAATCATATTATCATTTAAGTACCTATTCAAATCTTCAAATTCGACTGCAGGGAAATGTGGATAATAAAGAGGCGCGTCAATGCGAAATATAAAATTCGCTATTAATTCTATCACATTACAAACGCTAAATTAGCAGGGTTACTTCGATCAATTAAAATTCAGTGCCAAAAGAGTCAATAATTTTTTTACATAGGCATTTTTAATATTTTTTTAACGAAGATTAACGTTGAATACTGACAGTAAATATTTGATTCATTCCCACTTGTCGAAGGTATTATTGAGAAATTACAGCAATGATATTCATTAAAACATTAACTTTTATTGTGTAATTATCTTAGATCATTTTCTATTGGAAATCTTTGTATCATAAACGTATACCGGTGAACTAAATGATTCCATGAGTTATGCGGTGAATCGCGTCATAAGTTTTTTCCAACGCAAGATGTCGCAGAAATCAAAGGGACCAATAAACCTACATATTTAGACTGAAAAAGGAAATATTTCTCGAGTGATTCCCGCGCTTCACAAGAAAACAATATCAGAACTTACCTTGAGACGTATGAACCGTTCACAAGCCGAAAGGCGCTGCTCTGGGTGCTGGCTTGCAGCTCAATGCCAGCAGCATTTATGTCAGCCCGCGCTCATGACGTCATGCTCTAACTAACATTTTACTCACTAGATATCGCTGACAACGGTACTCAACTGTCAACGAAGTCGTGCTATCTATGAGCCACTGAGCAAATTAAAATGAGGTTGCTAGCGTACAGTAGCGCTACTCGACTTGGAACATATAGTGCATTTTTGAAAATACGGAATAAATTTTTCATTTTTCCAACTGCAATTCACAGAAATGTATAAATGATCAGAATCCATATTTTTTGTATCATTTTATTAACCATGCCCAAAATGTACAATAATTTTATTAGTATTGAGCTTCCCAATTTAATATCCTCCATAGACCACTTTCATTGCAGGGAGCACATTATAAATGCAGTAGTTAATATATGTGGGTAAATTCAAAAAGGCAGTGAAGACCTTATTGCTTGAACAATTTAATTTATTACTGCTATTCTCCTTTAATCTGGTTGAAGACTTCAGGGAAGTACTAGAAGTCACATCTTTGTAATGGAGAATAAACTATTAATCAGTCTCCTGTGATCAAATGCAATCAACCATAAAAACAATACAACGTTCCCATGATACGGGACCATTGCAAGAGTAAATTCTGAACAGTATCAACTTCTCAAGCACTCAGTAACATCTTTTCAATATACAAACAATTTCAAAATTTAACAATACAAACTCACAATATCAAATATATGCTTATTTACACAAAAAAGAATGCAGTTTTAACAATGATAAAATATAAAACACTAATTATGAGTTATAAATGTAAAAGCTGATTTGGTCCCAATCATTGGTTCAGACTTTTAGGAGGGTCTTCATTATATTTATACTTTTTACTCTGTATCCCTGACCAAAATGGTTCCTGAAATCAAAAGAATTGGAATTCATTAGTATTCTTACAAATATGAATATTATTTAGGTGCCATTCTAATGTCAACTATCATACTACCTATCCTACACAGTAAATGACATTCGATATAATTAAACAATACACATTTCAGCTATGTACACTCTGTTGCACCACCTACAATATATAAAATACATGCACTCTTACTTCATTATTATTTTGCTTTTTAAACTTGAGATATTTGCAGTGCACAATATTCACAGACAAAAGTGATGGAAAAATGCATATTGACATAATTTGAAGCAAATAAAATGGGCATACCAATGATTGAGGTAATGAAAAAGTTGGTATAATTGGTGTCTATCACTGAAACCGTTTGCTTTTGGAATTGCTTTATGGTAAGCATCCAGGGTTGCTCTTCCGAATCCACCAAACATTCCCATTATGGCAAGATCATATTCATGGTGTCCATAAAAAGCAGCTGGATCAAATACAACTGCAAGAAGAATAGAAGAGTAAGTCAAAAGTAGAAAGGAATTATACACATTCCCAGAATGAAGAAAACGTGCACAGAATACACTTCTCCCCATCCCATGTCACATACGGTTTTTACAATAAATAAATAAAATCCACATTGAATATCAATTTTCTTGACATTACTTACTTGGCATTTTATTGGCATCCCCAGCATTGCCACTCCATAAATCGCCATGAAGTAGAGAAGGTGTAATTTCAATTCCTTCAAAAAATTTTGGTATTTTATGTTGCAATTCTACCCATAGTTCTCTGGCTTCTCGATCACCATACTAAAATGTATATTATACATTTGCTTCTAAATTCATGAACCATAAAATTTGAATTTGTTTTTTCAAATATGTAGCATGCACCTAACCAATGTTTAAAGAATTAGTTTTTATTTATACATACTTCAGTTTCAATCATACGAAGTTGCATATCAAGTCTCTGCCTCGTAAAAAAATCCTATCCAAAACATTAAAAATGTTGTTCACATTGAAGTATCACATTCAATAAAGAAATAATAGTAATGTAATTAAAAACAAAAAATAAAAACTCACAATCCAATTGTCACACCATTCGTTTTCCATAGGTATGTAGCCACAGCAAGTAGTAGTATGGAAACCAAATTTTTCTACAGGGAGAGGCCCTTCCTCTTTTCCAACATATCCTGGGTTTCCATGCTTAACGAGTTCAATGTTATGTAAATGTAATGCAGCAAGTTGTTCACCTAACTGTTTGTACTTACTTAAACCTTTTATGTCAACAAATTGCAAGGCAAGGGCAGCACCACCTTTTGGATTATCAACTACAACAATAGGGTTGGGAACTTGAATAGTATTGGTATCTTTAATTGCTTTCAGACCTGCATATTCACCTTCAAACATTCTTCTGGCCTGTCAAGTTATAAAAGTATTCCATAATTTATCTAATGAATTTGCAGAAAATATATAAAACAAAAAGGAAATATTCTTACTTCAGACTTGTTATTCGATTTCACAAAAACTACTCCTTGGTCAGTTTTGTAACCTTCTCCATCATTGATACAACCACCCCCATGATACCCGGTAGGAACAAGTGTATTAGTATGTAAAGCATTTTTCAGGATTGCTTCCATGTTTGGAAATAGATGACATTTACGCTTGAACACAATGTAATTTTAAGAAACTTTAAAAGAAATGCTTTTTAAGTGCAAAACATCTATAAATGGAGAGCAACACGAGCAATTTACTGTTTGAGCCGTGCTTTCTGGCATTGAGGTTATGGCAATGATGGAAACTCAGTTATACCACACATGGTGTCACTTAATTGACAAAGTTATATCACTCAACCTCAAATAATTCTGTACCCTTCACACTGATACAGACATGACATGCTGTCAAGCTAGAAGCGCAAATTTTCTCCTATTACCGTATTAACTGTCACAGCTTCCGAGGTCACTGCACGTTATAAACGTCACAAGTTTTGCAATTTTAGAAGGAAGAATATGTGTCAGCAAATCGCTTTGAATAATCATAAAAACAATTCTTACATACGTCAAACTTTAATAAAATGCGATACGCCGATAAATTGCAGGTTACTCTATTCTCGTTTTAATAGTAGCCAACATTACTAAATGTAAACGTTGATGCATTACGTATAATCCTTGACAGGTGAAGTTTGTTTTCACTTCCTTTTGGGTGCAACATTTCACCAGGTATACTTTTATTTTGGTCTTCTAGAACTCATATTAGGTTTATGTAGCCTTCTGTGACTACGACTTGATTTACTTCCTGCAAGCAGAAAGTTCGTGAATGTTGGTAGTATCAGTTGCAATCATGGCGGAGTGGACGTAACATCACAGTGGTGAACTTCATTTTTCGTGTTCTAGGACGGCAACCAGAATGAAAACATAAGATAACCTCATTGTATTTTTGCCATATCTGGATATATAAATGCACCATGTCTTCCAAAAGGTAAGTAGCGCGGCATAATTGTTGCAAAGAGAGCGTAGATTTCGGAGGGTACTGCCTGGTTGTTGTATGTTGATTACAGGACGAGCAAATGACAACGTTACGGAAAATGATAATGGTTTATGATAAGAAATGGTAGTAAATGTAATACAAGAAGGCAAGCATGAGTGTAAAATATTCGTAAGATTATTATGCAGCTTAACGTTTGGTATAAACTGTGAGCTATGTTTATTATGTGTTATGACTCCACATGGGGTGTATTGAAGTCATTTTACGTCTTAATTGTTATTTACTTCTAATGATAGTGAGATCTTAATGCTAAGGAGCCTCATCAACAAATATTGTAATTTTTGAAATTTCATCAGAATGTCCATGGGAGCAAGACGGTTACAAATGTCTCTACTCCAAAGCAGTACCATTCGTTTTTTCATTGGATATAGAACTCCCCTTCGTTCAATTGCTGTTTCATTACGCGATATTAGTTCGCTGTATGATGAACGCGAGTCACTGCGCAGTGCTACGCGCGGGGGGCGCACGGCGGTTGCTAGCGAACCGCAGCAAACCGTCCGATCTTAGTCTACTTATAAGTATCGGCTTGTCGTTGACCCCTCGACGCGAGGAGCGGATTGCGTTAACCTCTTTCCCCGCCCGTCTGCCGTTGTGCGTGTGGGTGCGTACTCGCGGCACGGCGGCGTGCCGTGCTGGGCCGTGCCGCGTCGCGTCCGGACAGCGCCAGCCAGTCGCGGCACGCCGCAACGCGTGGGTCGAGGGGGAACTGCATGTCCTCGGGATGCGTGTGTGCACGGCCCTGCTATAAATAGCGAGGCACATGTTCTATCCGACTGGGAATAGAAAGTCGGGATCGGATTCTGTGGAGAGGCGGCGGCGGCGGTGCGCCCGCGGCGAGGTGCAACCAGCAGACGCCGACGACGCGACGGGCAGACGCGGCAGAGCCGACGGGGACGCGGCGTCATTCCGAGCGACGGTCGCGCGTTCGCGGTGACCTCACGTGTCTCTGCCGCGACGCGAAAAGCGAGAGCGAGAACGAAAGGAGAGAAAAAACAAAAACAAAAAACAAACGAGAGCGCAGCCAGCTGCGTGGGGTACCGCTAGCGCGGTGGCGGCGGCGGCGGCGGCGCCGGGACGCGGCCCACGACCCTTGCGATCGGAGCGCCGCGCCGCGCACGTGGCTCCCATCGCCTCGCTTCCTTTGTTTACGCGGCAGCGGCGGCCGCGGGAGTCGAGCCGCGCGTGCTCGCAGTGCCCAGGCCGCCTGCCCCGCTCTGCCCTGCCGCGCCGCCGTCGCCGGCTCCGCCGCCACAAAAACGATCGGCGTGGCTTTGTTTATGGTCGGGCCGCAGACATCGGGGTCTGCACTCCCCACCTCGCCACAACCTCTAGCGACGGGTCTGCGCGACGCTTCGTGTCCATGCCGTAGGATGTTCGGGTAGAATAACTCCTAAGGATGGAGACAGTGCACATTTTTCTTTGGGGCTAATTCATCTTTATTGATTATGATTCGTTAAGAAAGTATTTTCTGAAGAGGACCTGCGTGATACTGATCGATTTCCTGTAGTTTTCAGGTGCTTTAATTTTACGTGAGTTTTATGGGATGTTTTCTGTCAACATTGAAATGATTTTATTAAAAAGAAAGTATATTGATGTTTGCTGCGTTCAATGTCGATGTTTTCTTTTTCTCGTGTTTGAACGGGGGCGTTGTGTGTTCAATGCAGGAAGTGGAGTAGAGACCTGAATCGGAGGGGAGGGCAATTTCCTCGGCCGAGCAGGTACCGAAGGGGTTTGCTGACTCCGGGTGGCGGGAGAGAGCAGGGGAAGCAGGTACTGGCACTGGGCAAGTTGCCCCTCGGACTTAGAGGTACAATGAAAGTGGACTGCTTGGAAGTTCATTCCATTCAGTGTCAGGTATATTTCATTGGAGAACGTTTCTGTTTCGTGAGATACAAAGGAGTTCCTTGACGCATGATTTGGTCATGTTGGAATGAGAATACAAGTGACGGGTTTGTTTTCATTTATGCGTGCAAACATTTACACATCATAATGCTATCTAGCTTAGTTGTTTGCGTGGGAAATCGCATGGACGCACCTTCAAATGGAAATGTCTCGTGCATCCTCTTTCCTCTTGGCAATGTTTGAGATTTCCCTGTCGAAAGAGCTATTATAAGAGTCGTGCACTTTGTGTAAGCACGAACATCAACGGTAAATATTCCCAGGATGTCTCGTAGCGTTGATCAGCTCATTGATCTGCGTTATTTACTTTGCCAGTTCGTGTGCAATTTAAAAGAAGGTGGTTTTGCAATGTTCATTCTTCACACGTTAGGCGCACATATGGTGCATTGGGGCAATGATTTGACATGAAACGCGCTACAAATGCGTTGTATGCGACGACGTTTCTTCCGCAATTGGACTATTAAATAATTCCACGATATTGGTTATCAGAGAAAGCCTTGCGTTCAGAATTGTGTGGTACGTGTTGAAGTATTGACTACAGACGAGAAAACGGGTGATGTTTTGCGATGTGTGAAAAAA